GTCACCACCTCGAGATGTCTGCCTGACGTCACCTCGAGATGTCTGCCTGACGTCACCTCGAGATGTCTGCCTGACGTCACCTCGAGATGTCTGCCTGACGTCACCTCGAGATGTCTGCCTGACGTCACCTCGAGATGTCTGCCGACGTCACCTCGAGATGTCTGCCGACGTCACCTCGAGATGTCTGCTGACGTCACCTCGAGATGTCTGCTGACGTCACCGAGATGTCTGCTGACGTCACCTCGAGATGTCTGCTGACGTCACCTCGAGATGTCTGCTGACGTCACCTCGAGATGTCTGACGTCACCTCGAGATGTCTGCTGACGTCACCTCGAGATGTCTGCTGACGTCACCTCGAGATGTCTGCTGACGTCACCTCGAGATGTCTGCTGACGTCACCTCGCGACATCACGCCTGACATCACATGATGTCACATCGAGTGTTTCTAGTAATTATTTTAATATTGTCGAGAAGATTGAGAGAAAATATGTGTCGTGTGTTAATTAATTCCTCTCAGTCAGTGTTCTCACATGTTGTACCGCGGTGTGTTTTTAAAGTTTTCCGTGTGTCCAGTGAGGTCTGAGCCAGACCTGAGTAGCACCACTGTGCTAAGTCACCCGTGTGACCAGTGTGTTTGACAGCTGATTAATCAGCCCTGAGCGTACGAGCCCTCTTGTACACAAAGCTTTTATGCTCGTCGCTCGTGATGTTCTGCAGAATCATACCTGCTACGATTCCCATCGAGATTTGTTTCACTTCACCTCCAGACCTTCAGAGTGCAGTTATATGTAGAGAAACAAGTCTGGGGACGCTTAGGCTAACCTCTGCTATAACTCTAACTGTCGAGAGATGATACTCGTCAAGCCGCAGGCAGGCCTGTCGGCAGGCTCTGTGTCAGCCTCGTGTCACAAGCTTCAGTGAGCAGCCTGCACAAAGATGATGTCACTTTGACTGCTAGCTCTCTCACTGCAGTCTGGTGTATGATGTTACGACTCCCAGATGTTTCGCCCAGTCGTCTCTGCCACGACTCGCTCCACAACTCACTCCACACTCGCCGGCAGTGACAGCCCAGCGACAGTACCAGTCGAGAAGTGTCCTCCTGAGTCGCTTGCCAGAAGTCCTGCCCAGTTGCCGAGTTTTGTCGACGCCTCACTCGAGGGCACCAGCATGTCGTGCCCCAGGTTGAGTGAAACCTGCAGCGACTCCTACGATGACTGCTTCACCGTTCCAGAGGAGACCGTAACCTGTTACGTCACAGCTCAGCCGCAGCGATGTCTCCCGTGTTGCAGTATCTGTCCAGACGCAGGAAGGCGTGCAGTGATGCCCTTCGACGCTCACTGCCTTTGACCACGATGTTTAGCACACCCACATGTTTTTTCTTCCCTCCCCGTAGGAAGTTTTTTTTCCATGTTCATATGTATATATGTTTTTATTTTGTGTTCTGTGCCCTTTTCCTACGAGAGAGAGACCGAGTTTCTTTTACTACCAGTATTGTCGCGTCGGGACGACGCGCGATAGGTGGCCGAGCGTATGTAGACAGCCTGTACTGTCTGCGCAGACAGCCCATGCTGTCTGCCAGTTTAGTTCATATTTCGCGCTATGCTGGTGCTGCCATCTATAGGCCTTGCCACTTCAGTATGCCCAGACTTGCCTCGCTCTCACTCACAGCGGCCTAGCAGGAAGACACAAGTACTCCCAGCTCTCTCTCGTGGGCATGGCCCTCCCGGGCCATGGGCACAACACAAGCCTGTGTACCCACTACGACTTAACAATAAAGTAAGAAGCCTCCGAAGATGTATCATTTAACCACCCACTTGCAGCACCTACCAAACAAACCTTTTTATATTATGCAGACTACTGCACTAGTGTAGAAATGGTAAAAATAATTTCAGCGCACTTGTGAAAGAATATTAGACTCGCCAGTTGACGTGTATTAAATGTGTGGCATCATTTGTTTACTTTTGAACTTTGGCAAAAATCGAACATTTCTGCTACTTTGAGCTCAATTTCAAGGTACATACTTTTCGTTGTGAAACCAATCAAAATCATCTCAATTTCTGTAATATGTCTTCCATTCTATAAAATGTGACCAGGAAAACTAGAATACTACCATAAATACCATATGAAAATACAGTGCAAAGTCACTGTTTTAAACCAAAAGCACTGTGTGCTGCAGGATTTTTTTTATACTGTGCACACTGACCATAAAGACCCATTCTTTCATATGTAGGCCTACCAGCTTTGTCTCGCTAAATTTGAAGATGCTAGAATTTAGGCGTTCTAGTACGTCAATAACCCTGGTGCGTAAGCCATACTAGTACGTCGGAAACCCTGAAGGTAGCAGTGGCAGACAACATGAAGCAGCAGTGGCAGACATCATGAAGCAGCAGTGGCAGACATCATGAAGCAGCAGTGGCAGACATCATGAAGCAGCAGTGGCAGACATCATGAAGCAGCAGTGGCAGGCAACATGAGGCAGCAGTGGCAGGCAACATGAAGCAGCAGTGGCAGGCAACATGAGGCAGCAGTGGCAGGCAACATGGGGTAGCAGTGGCAGGCAACATGGGGTAGCAGTGGCAGGCAACATGGGGTAGCAGTGGCAGGCAACATGGGGTAGCAGTGGCAGGCAACATGGGGTAGCAGTGGCAGGCAACATGAGGTAGCAGTGGCAGGCAACATGAGGTAGCAGTGGCAGGCAACATGAGGTAGCAGTGGCAGGCAACATGAGGTAGCAGTGGCAGGCAACATGAGGTAGCAGTGGCAGGCAACATGAGGTAGCAGTGGCAGGCAACATGAGGTAGCAGTGGCAGGCAACATGAGGTAGCAGTGGCAGGCAACATGAGGTAGCAGTGGCAGGCAACATGAGGCAGCAGTGGCAGGCAACATGAGGCAGCAGTGGCAGGCAACATGAGGTAGCAGTGGCAGGCAACATGAGGCAGCAGTGGCAGGCAACATGAGGCAGCAGTGGCAGGCAACATGAGGCAGCAGTGGCAGGCAACATGAGGCAGCAGTGGCAGGCAACATGAGGTAGCAGTGGCAGGCAACATGAGGTAGCAGTGGCAGACAACATGAGGTAGCAGTGGCAGGCAACATGAGGTAGCAGTGGCAGGCAACATGAGGTAGCAGTGGCAGGCAACATGAGGTAGCAGTGGCAGGCAACATGAGGTAGCAGTGGCAGAAGCAACATGAGGTAGCAGTGGCAGGCAACATGAGGTAGCAGTGGCAGGCAACATGAGGTAGCAGTGGCAGGCAACATGAGGTAGCAGTGGCAGGCAACATGAGGTAGCAGTGGCAGGCAACATGAGGTAGCAGTGGCAGGCAACATGAGGCAGCAGTGGCAGGCAACATGAGGCAGCAGTGGCAGGCAACATGAGGTAGCAGTGGCAGGCAACATGAGGCAGCAGTGGCAGGCAACATGAGGCAGCAGTGGCAGGCAACATGAGGCAGCAGTGGCAGGCAACATGAGGCAGCAGTGGCAGGCAACATGAGGTAGCAGTGGCAGGCAACATGAGGTAGCAGTGGCAGACAACATGAGGTAGCAGTGGCAGGCAACATGAGGTAGCAGTGGCAGGCAACATGAGGTAGCAGTGGCAGGCAACATGAGGTAGCAGTGGCAGGCAACATGAGGTAGCAGTGGCAGACATGTAGCAGTGGCAGCATGAGGCAGCAGTGGCAGACATCATGAAGCAGCAGTGGCAGACATCATGAAGCAGCAGTGGCAGACATCATGAGGCAGCAGTGGCAGACATCATGAGGCAGCAGTGGCAAAGTGTAGCATTAAGAGTATAGCAATTAAGTGAAGCATTAAGTAGAGGTTCCACTGCATTAATAATTATATTTTCTTTATAAATATTGTATAAATGTGAGACTTACACCAAAATGTTTAACTATTTTTTGGTAAGCCTAACTCATTTTCCAAATACTGTACAGTGGAACCTCTGTATACGACCAGCTCCCCACTCGAACAGAGCTCAGCACTATCAAACAAATACGGCCTGCCAGAACTTCACTGTAAACCATTTCGTGTTTCTTCACATTTATTGGAGTTTTTCTGTATTATTTGTATAAATAAGTCACCAACCAAACAGAAAATTGGTTGGGAAGAACTTGTTCGATAAATGGAGCGGCACTCTAATAGCCTTCTGGAATGAATTAAGGTTGCATACCAAGGTTCCACTGTATTTTCAATGTTTTTTGTACCCGCCCACCCAAGTGCGGCTACCCCCCCCCCCCCCGGTTAAAAAATATCTTAAGTCAATTGTGGGTACTCACTGGCTTCTCCATTCTTTGTTGTTGCTGCGATATAATGCCTATGATGATATAAATCCTACAATGATGAGATGAAGTAAGGTGATGGTGAAGGCATTGTGATGTTTTAGACTACTGAGAGACGAGTCATATACTCAGAATGGCACAATTTGAAAATTATGAATTGTTTATTTCTGGAATTTCCCATTTAATGTTTTCTGGGCACAGTAAACTGCAGAAAAACTGTGGAAACCATATCCATAGATACTGGGGCCCCGGTATACTGTATTTACAAGAAGCATTGTAATAAAGTAGGCATTTAGTCTAAGGTACAACATCTATAGTCTGCCTAGTTTATGTAGCTGTGAATAATGGGAAATCGGGGAACTGATGAAACTGTTCTTAGAATAGTTATCACCACATACTATTTCATCTTGTTCCTGGCTTTATGACCGCTGCCTTTGAAACAAGTTCTTAACACTGTCCTGAAGCAAAGAAGTAAAATTAACTTGTCAGAAGCACATTCATAGGTTCCTTATATACTTGATTAAAACTATTCTACTTCTTTAGAATTACAGTATCTATTAACCTTTAATATACCTTTGAAAGATTTCGCTAGTTTTCCTACTCTTGCAGCCCAGCGATGGGCCAGGCTCGTCTCAAGTAACTGTTGAATAAAAAATTACAATACTATAAAAAACTACTTTATTAGGTATAACTAACCAGGAAAATGAAATAAAGAGGAAACCCACCTTTTTGGATATTATAATCTGACAGAGTACGTCCATCTTCAAGTTGCTTCCCAGCAAAGATGAGTCGCTGTTGGTCAGGAGGGATTCCTGCAAATGTAACAAGTTAAGAGCTTCAATAAATTATTCACTTATATTTTTTACCTTATTGGTTGTCTTGTACCAAGGTAGGGTAACCCCAAGTTAAGAACACACATTTATCATTCATTTAGTTGGTCGTGCCAGAAGTGTACTGACATAATTCAGAATCCTCTGATCTGCAACACTGCCACAGCCTCTTCTAGAATGTCAGCACTGCCCTTCCTGCCTAGAGTCTGGCTGTTTTCCCTGACCCTCTTCGTAAAAGTCACCTTGCTCACACTTGAAACAAGACGAGCAGTAACCTTTTCATTGTCTAAACCTCCCAATCTGCAACATGTCCACAGCTTAAAAGAATTTAAAAAAAAAAAAAAGTTTTTTTTCTATGAAATAGAAGAGAATCTTTTTCTGAAGGTAATAAAACAGAATACAAAATTTGATGGAAACTTGATGAAATTACACTTTTGCAAATTTTGCTGTCAGCAATTTACGCATTAATTATTTTGCCCATCGAGTCCTATTTTAAGCCAATTATTGCTCCAGTTAACCAAATTCTTAGCTAATTCACTAACATGTCTTCCATTTTATCGACTGAGCATGAGAAACTGCCCAATCAACTATTTCAACTACCCAATAAAGTAATCAGAAATTGGTAATTTGGTCAATTTCACACAAATTCCAAAATATTCCAATTTCAAAACAGGGTCCAGAATAAACAATGCAGGCATTCCTGACATTAAAATAATATTTCTCTGTTCATTAGTTACAGTCCCAGGCTTTACATATGAATTAAATTTTGAATTTTTATTCATGAAAAAAAAAAAAAAAAAAAAAAAAAAATCTACTGTTATGCAGTATTGTAATAATTGTATAAATAATATCAGTGCATTTATGAACACACATCAGACCCACCAGTTAGACATGTATTAGACAAGTGACTTTATTTGCTTACTCTTGAATATCAGCAAAAATCAAACATTACCACTACTTTGAGCTCCATTTCAAGCTATTTTCAGTCCTGAAACCATTCAAAATCATCTCTATTTCTGTAAAATATTTTCCATTCATTCAAATAAAACCAAAAAAAACAGAGAATACAACCACAAAAACCATACAAAAACACTGCAGTTCTTTTTTCTCATGCAATGCATGCTGCAGAACTTTTTATGGTGTACACTCACTGCATAGACCTATTCTCTCATTTAGGCCCAAATTTAACACTCAGCCTATGTGAGCGAGCCGAGCTCATGGCATAGTACTACAGAACCGGCAAGTGACCTCTAACCCATAGTACTATGGCACAATGAATGGGTTAAAAAAAAAAATTCTACTCGCTCCAACTAACACACTCCCAAGCCCCCTGACATCTAAATTATTTGCCCTCTCCCTCTACCAAAGATTGTCTCCCCCTCTGCAACTCCCTTCTATCGAGTGTACTGCAAACCCACTAACCATAACACTTTCATCTAGAGAGGATATAGTAAAACACACTCTTACCATGTACTACCTCTAGCTAAGTTCAACTGTCAGGTGCCTCCCTATAGTGATGCAAGCAGATACCTGCACACCTCAAAAAGGCCTTCTTACTTTAGCATGGCTTGGAAAAGAACACAATTGTATTGTGCACTAGCTGGGCCATGCAGTAAAATCTACTCTACAATTTTTGCCTATAAAATTATATATAAGAATGTGTAAGTGAAGCATAATATCACATACCACTTAATAAACAGATATGTATTCTGTTTATTAAGTGGTATGTGATATTATACAATACAAAAAAAAAAAGTTAAACCCACAGTATTTAATATGCCAAATATCTCGTACTTGACAGAGATAAATAGAATTATTCAGCATTAGTTTACTTACTGTACTCATTTTTTTTTCAAGTATTTACAGCAGTTACTGAAACACTGAATATACAACTGGATTTTATAAGTAAAATACATGTACTTTATTCTCAAGTCTTGGTGCTGTACCCTGATTCCACTTCAATAAGAATAAAGTGCAGCACTATATGGCTAATCTGCATATGCCCCTAGCTCATTAAAAAAATGTGCACATAAGACATACCCTCTTTATCTTGGATCTTTGCCTTCACATTTTCAATCGTATCCGATGGTTCCACCTCAAGGGTGATGGTTTTACCCGTTAGGGTTTTCACGAAGATCTGCATCTAAGGAAGAAAATACTAAACTTAATACAAGTGAAATAAACCTTTACTCATATGTAATGAAAAAACTTGCATTGTGGAAAGCTACCATTGAATGAGTTGCCTTTTTTTTTTTTTATCCTACCATATCACTCTAGGATAGTTTTCTCATCAATTAGTCGCATACATTAAAAAATACTTAGACAAAACTATACAACAAAATTCAATGGGCCCAAATGTGACTTATGGTGACAACAAAGTAAATAATGCTTAAGAAAATTACTATACCTGTGTAACCAAAATTGGCCCAAAAGTCCCCACCTTAGGTACAACTACAAAAATTTTCAAGTGTCACTTGTGATGAACAAGTGTGAACGAATGCAAGTGATCACGCCCACATTCAAAGGTACTTCTCACAACAAACAACAACATAACTGTCTTTAACATTACGATGACCTCGTAGCATTACTAAATTCCCTGCATACCAGTATATCCATCATTACTCTCACCAAAACCTGGCTAAAGCCTGATACTACAGATGTCTATGCCATTCCTGGTTACACAGCCATACACAACTGTAGGCCAGATCAACAAGGGGGTGGCACAGCTATATACTACTCAGACCAACTAGAATGTATCACTAATACTTGCACAAGGGATGAACATGGGGAATATATAATAGCTAAATTCAAATCCAAATACCTACAAAAACCTCTCACAATGATAAACATCTACAGAGTTCCACAATCAAACATTAGCCAATTTAGTCAAAACCTAGGAAGTATGATAACTGATGCACGCATGAACAAAGATCACTTACTACTCTCAGGTGACTTCAATATAAATCTCCTGCAAGACCAGGACCCACAAGTTACTGAATTCACAAACGTAACTGCATGTTGCTACCAACAGTAACAAAACCTACAAGTTACAGAGACTAGTGTTTCCCTACTAGACCACATCTAGACCAACACCATATCCCCTTTAAAATCAGGCATAATCACAGATAATACCACAGATCACTACCCTATCTTCCTCATAACAAATCTTGGCAAATTACCCCAAGACACTACTAAAGTCACTTTCAGACTTCACAATGAGACAGCCACTAATAACTTCACAGCAGCAGTGACAAACATTGACTGGCACACTGAGCTAGAAATCTATACAGATATTGACGAATGTATTAGTAACTTTCTAAAAAAGACCCAATACCTCTATAACAAGCACTCCCCCCAAAAAGCTAAACAGATGACAGCCAAGAGACTAAACAGTCCCTAGCTAACACTCAGCATCCTTAAATCCATAAATGCAAAGCACCTATACGAAAAACAGTACAGAATGGGTCACATAACCAGAGACCAAACAAAACGTTACTCGTCAATCCTAACCAGCCTGATAAGAAGGGCTAAAAAATTGTATTATGAGAACAGATTACCCAACTTACGAGGTGATATAAAAAAGACCTGGAAATCCCTATCAGAAATTCTAGGAACAAAAAAGATATCACGAAATAGCGAAATTAACAAAACCAGATGAACCCCAACTCCCACCAACTGAAACAGCACACAGACTCAATAATTTCTTCTCCACTATAGGAAAATACCTTGCCAATAAAATCCCAAGCTCAGATACCCCACTGGCAACTACCCGAATACACTGTTCCTAGCTCCGACTAACCCTACTGAAGTCTCCCTTACAATCAACACACTAAAAAACAAGATAGGAGATTTAAGTACCTTACCATCCTTTATATACAAAAAAGCATCACAAGTGCTATCACCAATCATTGCAACACTAACAAATCCATAGAATCCTCTACCTTCCCTACAGTTCTCAAAATAGCAAGGGTCACCCCAATCCATAAAGGAGGAGACCAAACAGACTTGAATAACTATAGGCCAATATCCAACTTACACCCTCTCTCTAAAATCTTCGAAAAATTAATTCATAAGCGAATCTATTCCTACCTCATCTCCCAAAACATACTCAATCCCTGTTAATTTGGGCTCAGGCCTAATAAAAATACTAATGATGCTATTATACACATGCTAGAACACACACACACTGCAATAGAGAAAAAAGAAGTCCCACTGGGGATCTTCATTGACTTACGTAAAGCTTTTCATACAGTTGACCATGACTTGCTCTATATAAAATTGTCGCACTATGGTATAAGAGGGCACTCCCTCAACTACCTAAAGTCTTACCTCAGCAACAGAAGCCAATATGTGTACACAAACGAGGCAAACTCTTCCGCACAGCCAATTACAGTTGGAGTCCCGCAGGGAAGTGTCCTAGGCCCTCTTCTCTTTCTCATATATATAAATGACCTACCAAATGCATCACAACTACTCAAACCCACACTATTTGCAGATGACACTACTTACGTCTTCTCTCACCCGAGCCCAGTCACGCTAGCCAATACTGTAAATACCGAATTACAGAAAATATCTACCTGGATGAGGACCAACAAACTTACTCTAAACACTGACAAAACCTACTACATTCAGTTTGGTAACAGAGCTACAGATGTCCCTCTTAACATAATGATAAACCGATCACCTATCACAAAGCTCACAGAGGGAAAATTCTTAGGAATCCACCTTGATAATACTCAAATTTCAAACACACATACAACAAATTTCCAAAAAAATTTCCAAGGCCATAGGCATACTATCGAAGATACGTTACTATGTTCCAAAGTCAGCCCTCCTGGCCCTATAACACTCACTTATTTACCCCTATCTCACCTATGGAATTTGTGCATGGGGCTCAACAACAATAAACCATCTCAAACCATTAATTACCCAACAAAAGGCTGCAGTCAGAATGATAAATTCCCACTACAGGCAGCACACTCCACCAATATTCAAAACTAAACCTAAACCTACTCACCTTACAAAACACCCATACTTCTTACTGCACCTACTACATACATAGAACACTTAACTCTGGTATAAACCCTCCCCTCCAATGTCTCCTTACCAACCTCAACAGAACACATGACCGTAACACATGGCACAGATCACTCTTTGATGTTCCTTGTGTCCATCTCACGCTATGCAAAAACTCAATGCACATAAAAGGCCCTAAAATCTGGAATTCATTACCAGTGAATATAAAAGAAACACTGTATAAATTCAAGTCTCTTCTCAAAAATCACTTACTCACCCACAACTAAATAAATACTGAATAACTGTATCTCATAAATTGTATCTCATAAATGTTTCTCATTGTTGTATCTCATAAATGTCTAATCTGTGACCCAATCAAACTTTGTTATTTTTAATTACATTACCTAACAGAATACTCCACTCTACTGAATGCACAGCAACACAGTAAATGACCATATGACCTGTCTTTGTAATACTCATTTGTGCTAAATTGTTCTGTTTACAATAATGTTTTTACCACTGAATATATCATTGCTTAGTTAATCTTAAGTTAATTTTAAGTCTGCCCATAATGCTCTGCATACAAGGGACTCTTGGCATGTTGCACTTTAATAACTGTATTCCTTTGCACTTCTCTATCATGTTCAAATAAATAAATAAATAAAATAAATAAATAAATAAATAATAAATAAATAATAAATAAATAAATAATAAATAAATAATAAATAAATACATAATGAATAAATAAATAAATAAATAAATAAATAAAACAATAAATAAATAGTCAGTTTCTGACCAGCTAAGGCTGTGGTTTGGACATTGGACTGTGTGCAGCTGGCAGTAACAGCCTGGTTAATCAGGCTCAGGCCATGCAAGGTGTCATTGACCCTCAAAACATACTACACATGAACTCCAGGTAAAGTATCAAACCTAACCTATAATTTGGTTGTTGCCCAAATGCCATGCTAAGAGCCTTCAATATATTAACTGTCCATTACACATTGCTCAAGCACAGGCATCTTTAAGTGGATGTAACTTGGACCTGACTAGCTTAGGCCAGCAGCTTGTGCCAGTAGGTGCCTTGGACCTGCCTAGCATGGGCCAGTAAGCCTTCTGCAGTGTTCCTTCTCATGTTCAACTCGCATCTAAATGGTCTAGTTTCAATCCCAACAAGTTTAAACACTGGGCATGTTTCGACACTTGTTGAAACACTGTTCACCGAGCATTAAGGAACACAGGTGTTAGCAGATTTTTGTGAATCTCATCCCAGTTAAGATCTAAGGAACCTAGGGGAAAAAAAAAAAAAAAAAAAAAAAAACTTATCCTTGGTTACTAACCTTCTGGGTTAAATTTTTCAAATAGACTACAGCAGATTTCAGCGATTATTTAGCTTGAATTGTGAAATGTTGGTTTTACAGCACATAGTTGTGCAAACGTTAAAAACTAACAAAACCTTACTCTGCCACCGGTTGATATGAGTCTACGTTTGCCCCAGCGTGACCTGGCTATAACCATTAATTAAAGATACATTCTCTGCTCGTCTGTTGGTGTGAGCAGACATGCGCCTGCTGCCCTCTCTCGGCGATTGAAAGACTTCCTGTTTTTTCCAATATGGCGCAGTGTGTAAGGAGGAGGGTAAATACTATGGGCATCCAGCTGGTTCGCGAGGCGATTTCGCCGTAAGCTGCTCCTGTGCTGTTGCCATTAATCATCCGGGATACGTATGGTATACAGGATGAAGAATTGTATGGGGTAGCACTTAATGGCACATACAGGGTGTTTGTTAAGTTGAACACCGGCGTCTATGAGAGGCTGGTAGAGAAATACCAGGATGTGCAAGTGGACGTCAATTCTATGGCGAGTGTCCGCCTTCATTACATCTCCAGGCATTATACATGGGTTAGTGCGAAATGTACCGTTTGAGGCTGATGAAATGGACATATGCAATGTTTTCAAGAACTACAGGACCGTTCACCTGGCATAGCCCAGTAAGTGGGTAGAAGGTGCCTACATGGGATTCCCAGAGGGCACGTTTTCACTGAAAATGATGATACGGCACCCCATACCGTCATGTGTTATATTGGAGGCCTTCAGGACTCGGCTCATGGTGTCCTATGCTGGGCAACG